AGCCAGCAGGCGTGAGCTTCGCAGTAAGGGTGCTGGGCACCAAACCTATGTCCACCGAACCACCTCTAGCCTCTGTTTTAAACATCTTCACCACCACAGTAAGCATTATTGTTTAAAACATGTATTTTAAACATTTAGCATTTAAACCCACAGGAAAATTTCTGAGATGGTAAATTACCTGATTAAAGGAATGCAGTTTACATTTCAGTGTGTGATGCCAGGCAGACTCTCTGAGGACCAGAGAGTCTGCTGGAATTATACCCACCAGAGTGAGCACTGTGCAGATCTTTCCATATTCTTCCTAGCAATTATGCTGATCCTCCCTAATATTAAAGTATGTTACATTTTTCAAAAAGTATTTTTTTGTGTGTGTCTGAGTGTTGTTCCTTGAGTTTTGTTTTGTTTTCCCAATTTGACACAAGTGAGGAGCAACTGAGAAAAGGAACCTCAATTAAGAAAATGCCTCCATCTGACTGGCCTGTAGGCAAGTCTGTGAGACATTTTCTTGGTTAATGATTGATGTGAGAACGGTCAGCTCACTCTGAGTGGTGTTCCCACAGGCAGGTAGTCCTGAAAAGATAAGCAGCTGAGCAAGCCACGGAGAGCAAGCTAGTAAGCAGCATTCCTCTATGACCTCTGCTTTAGTCCCTGCCTTGAGGTTCTCGTCCTGACTTCCCTTCCTGATGGGTTTGCAATTTTCAAGAACCTCATCTCTAAGGTAGTTGCTGAATGTATCCTCGCTCTCTCAATACTTCACCACTCATCCCTGCTAACTCTACCAAGTTACGATCATAGCAGCAGAGGCTGGGGTGGCTCAGCAGTTAGCAGCACGTATTGCTCATGCAGAAGACCAGAGTTGAGTTCCTAGCACTCATGCCAGATAAGAATTCTACAAAGGGCTATGTTCCCAGTCCAGAGGAAAGAAACTAAAGCTGTCAACATACAAAGCCGTGGATCACTAACTTAAATACTGCTCCTAAAAATACACCAAAGACATGAATAGGTATCATGAAGGACGGAATCTAGCCTGTTAGCTCCTCAATGTATCGCCAATGCTCAAGGAAACTTCATGGGACAAAGCGGGCTTTGAATAATGTGTTATGAATTAAAGAATTCCAAGCATTGTTAAAATCTCAAATACATAGCCAATACATTTTTTCTTTTTTAAAATTCATGTCTAAATAAATGTGTATTACGTAAATATTCAATACTCAATACACTGCCTGAATTTGTGGTTTTTCTAATATTGAACTATTCCACAACTAATGTGCAAAATGAAAACCTTCACAATTTGTCATTTTGGACAAGCCCTTCCTAGAATCCTTTGTTGACACACAATGCTTCAAAGTCCATAAAGTGGCCCCACAGCACCAGCAAGCAAATTCAGTCCTTTCATCCAACAAGCTAAGCCAACCAGTGTTCACAAAGGAAATGCATCTTGTGCTCTTCCACACAGCCTCTATTCCTCTCTTAAAGACATTCACCTGCTTAGTCAAGCCTAAGAAGACACAGTAATCTTTCTATCAGTATTAGCAGAGTAAAACCTATTTAAAATGTAAAGCCATTAATTACATAGAAGACTCCCAAGTAACGATGATAGATTTATAAACCGATATAATCACAGGTTGTATCTATAGGTTAAAATACAAAAACATAAACTTGAACTTTCATGGTTATTTAATATGAAAGCAAGAAAGTTACCAGTAGAGGGCACTCACAAGATGGAGAAGAGACTGACAAAGCTTTAAAGAAAACTGCAACAGTTTTTTTTCAAACAAAACTGCTTTTAAAATAACATTATTTTCAAGTCAAAATGTTTCAATACAACTTTAGAGAAAGATAACATAATGCAAAGTAACAACTTTTAAAAGGTGAACTTTAAATCTATGTTATACTTGAAAACCAAAAAAAAAAAAAAAAAAAAAAAACCCACCAGGGCATGATTTTGATATTCTGAGCACTGTTTAAAGATCTATGTAGCACATAAGGCTTTTAACTCAGAATTGCTGATATTCTGAGTAGTCTGAGTAGTTCTTTCTTTGCTTTTTCTAGTTGAGTATTGTTTGGGGACTTCGTTGAGATTGTAATAACCAAGTCTCACTAACAAGTTAATTATTTCTTTGAAAAACTTCAGTGAACATCATGAAAGATAAAAATCTTTCAGAACAGAAGTCAAGGTGATTCTCCTGTACACTGTCTCCAATATTAACATGTTCTATGGTCACACTTGTGTAGTTTTCTATTATGTATCTACCATAAGCAGTCATTAGTAAATTCAAATTACAGTAGACTGTTGAATAGTTTAGAAGATTAAGTAATTTTTTAGTTTGAAAGACAGCTACTTTTTCACTTAGCATAGTAGAGATATCACTTGTTTTCATAAAGTTTAAATGCAGTCTTACCACTGATTAGCTAAATATCCTTAGGCAAGTTAGAATACCTCACAAGTTTTCAGATAAAAGAAGCAAGGACTATTCTCTTTCACCTCCTAGTATAATTTTTCACAAATTCTAAATCACTAAAAAAAAAAAAAAACAAACAAAAAAAACAAATTATTTTTAAAAATTCCTGCCATTTTTTTAATGTAGAAACTAATCAAATTCCAAAGCTCAAGCACTCGTACCAATGGGCTACATCCCGAACCCTTCTTTTCTTTTTCACTTTAAGACAGGGTCTCACCAAATTGCCCGGACTGTCCTTGAACCTGCTCTGTAACCCAGGCAAGCCTTGAAGTAGAAATCCTCCTGCCTCAGAGTATAAAGTGGCATCTGCCACCAGTCCCAGATTCCTCATTCATTCTGATTTTCTCTCTGAACACATTTTTCACCAATTAAAATGTTTTGTATTGTGGGAAGTTGGCATTTTTATCAGTCAAATCTCTTTCAGCTCTTCTGCCCTTCTTATAGGTGAACTACACAGAGAAAACATCATGTCAGTTTCCTCAGACTCACCACAGCTTGTGAGATAAGGGGTAATCTCAGATACTTTTCTCCAGATGGCTAAATTACCTGGGGGAATGTCAGTTTCAAAGTTCACAGGTTATCAGTGCTCCCCAGAGTCAAGCCTTCTGGCTTGACAGAAATCATAATCAGGACTAGAAATGTAAACGTACAACCTTCTTCTACATAATGGAGTGTTAAGTGTATGGCACACCTCGGCAAGTTGGAGCTGAAGGTTTCTTAAGCTGTACTTTATCATGCTCCTACATTGCTGACCGCATGCTGTGTATATTCATAAAGCTTTATGACCTGACAGGAAAAAGCACAATGGAATCCCTCAGATTTTCAAGGAAAATGGTGGTTACTTGTGCTGAAATTGTCTTCCAAATCGCAGGTAAAGTTCCGCACTTCACATGCATTCTATTAAAACTTGCTTGTACACTTAGCTTAAATGGTAGAACATGCCAAGTAACGTTGGCTGTAGAGTACCAATCAGAACACGTGAACTTTTTCATCTTCCTCAAAGAAAAATGCAGAATTCTGTCCAGCGCTGGGCTGACAATTGTATGAAGAAGAATGCACAGGCACTCTGCCTCACTGACGCAACCTATTCAACTTGGAAAGCAAATAAAAGCCATTCGTACATCAAGATCAAACCTTCTCAGAGGGTGGTGCACTACTAAAATTATTTGACACTTCCTAGCAGTTACTTATTCAACCTTCAATGTTTTGAATGACATAAACATTTTCCCAAGCTCACCAATGCCCTCAAAACCCATCACAGCGCATTGTTTCTTCAAGACATAACAGAGACCCATAACAGGGCACTTCTGCCAAATTCTTCAGAACTGACTTCTTTTTCTTTTTACGTCGGAACATGAAATAGGGACGTAGCTTGGTGGGTAGAGTACTGCCTAGCATCCCAGAGGACCTGGGTTTGACTCGCCAGAATAGCCTCTGAGCATGCCATGGAGGCCCGCCACAGCAGGGGTGGAAGCTGGATGAGCAGGCCTTCACGCCAGGTCTCAGCTACCTAAGGCCCACCTCAGGGTACATTAGAACAAAGAATAAAGGCTAGGGGTTAGGATGTCTTCACACTGCAGTAAAGATGCCTGAGAGATAATCTAACAATAAAGACTATTTCAAAGGCAAGGTAACATTTATTTCACACTTCACTGATGTTAAATTTAATATATTTAGATTACACATAAAAGTGTTAACAGTTACCTTGTGAAAAATGAGTTAACAGGCACAGTTAAAGAACAGCCCTTCCTGCTGCTCTTGCAGGTTTAATAAACCCTTCTTTGGTCTGGAAAACTTGAACCTATTGCCAGCAATAGGACATACTACCTGATTTTTCAAGATCTCTTCCAGGTTTTAATTCTATTATTTAGCAGTTGGCCTTTATTGGTTTTTATGAAATGAAAAATGTCTAAAAATAATCCTGAAGATTGTACTGATCAAACTGTATTAAGCTTGAAAAAAAAAAATCAACCATCAAATACTTCTATTTTTCTAGTATAATCAAATTTTCTTGTCACATCAAAATTCCAAGAAACCCATGAAAATAAAAAACATCCAAAAGAATAACTTGTGCTGGGCATGGTGGTTCACATCTTTAATCTCAGCTTTTGGGCAGCAGAGGCAGGTGGATGGATCTCTGTGAATTCAAAGCTCGCCTGGTCTACATTAGTGATACCCGATCTCAAAAAAAAGCAAACAAACAACATAAATATAAAACTTTCCAAGTGTAGATCAAATGCAAAGCTATATTCTTTTTACTCTTACAAACCCATGGAATATACGTATCCAAATGCAAATGCAAGGACACAGCTGGCACCCCGGACCTGATTCTCTGTGACATTCTTTCGAGAAGTGGGGTTCCTTGCATTTAGGGTTACCTATCACTCAGTCCAAAGCCTTGACACTAAAGGACATCACATGTAATTGAAATAACTTTCAATGTAAATGTCTAGTCATATAAATATGGTCAGATACCGTTTCATACAAAGGATGGCTGTCCGCCCTTCACAAACCGCATGTGGAATACAGACAGATTACCTCTATCGTCGGGTCATACTCGTCCACAAAGTGGTTCTGAATTAGCTGTATCGTCAAGGCACTCTTCCCTACGCCACCAGCTCCGACCACCACAAGCTTATACTCAGTCATTTTCAGCAGGCCTTATAAAGTAATAGAAACAAAACTAGATTAGAACATGTCTCATGCCAGATTACCACAGGTATTTTATCACTCACTTTTACATGTAAAACTCTGAGGTATCTGCAATTCAGTGACTGCAATTGGACTTCACTCACAACTCCCCTCGTCAACCTTTAATACAAGTACAGGCAACCACTTCCTTCACCTTGAATCATTCAGCTTGTTTCATCTAAACAGCCAGATTACTGTTTTGTAGCAGCTAATGGCTCTCAAAGGACTATATCATGACATGACCCAGTTCAAGTACCCTGCACAGTACCCTACCCTGTGGGCACAGTGCATATGCCTGTTGGCAGCTACCCCAACACCTACCCTCGCAGTATCCCTTGTTGACTCCATTTTAAAAGTTAGAAGTAGGCAGCCTAATAGCGTCTTTGTTGCAGCCAACAGTTACAGAAAACTGGTTTAAAGCTATTGGAGTAGTTCTCCCATGATAGGCAAGAAAAAAAGGAGCCTAGTGTCACAATGAAGTGTCGTGGGTAAAGAAAGAATTAGACAACGAAGAAAATAAAGATAATATTTGATGACATTTTAATTTATAAAGTAACTGTGGGGAAAACAAAGGTAAAAAGAAGACTTTTAAGGATTTGGGATTAATGATCAGATCAATTATAAATAATCCTATGTGAGTAGTAAAAAACAATACCTCTGTACAAGAAAAATAAAACTGAATAAAATTCAGAAATAAAGACTACTTGTGGCAAGGGAAAAAAAATGGTGAAGGCCGTAAAGAGTTTCTCAGTAAGGCCTGGGACCTTTTCTCTGCTTATGGACACTGTTTCCCAATAGGCGCAACAAGCATGGCCAATACAGTTCACAATCTCCAAAGAGAAAATGCTGTTATATTTTTTAGTCGGCTATTCCAAACATTCTGAAATAAAATGAGTATGCTTATTTTATCTCCTTTCCCTCATATAACACATTATTACTAATAAAAAGACATATGGATGCAAAAGAATGGCAATAAAGCCACAATTATTTATTACAGAATAAATAGTTCTAGGTCAATGTATGTGTGTATAGTGTAAATAAACACAAAATACACAGTCTACTTATTGATGACCAAGAATTATTCACACAGGCATCAAGAGGTAAAAAAGCAGTTTGTTTTGCCAACACAGCGTCCTCCTCCCCCTGTGCCTGAGACCCTAAGTAAGAGTAGCACAGGTCAGAAGACCAAGAGCTTCAGCCAGCCCCTCCATACTTGGCCCACCTGGCCTTCCTTGCTGCATGCTGTCTGGGCCCATCTTGGGAGCCATTACTACCCTAACTTACCTGTTTGCCTTCAAGTTGTATGGACCACGGCAAACTTAGACCATGGGATAGATGAAAAGAATCACATGGAAATACGACCTTTGCCCTCACCCTCACACATAATTACGAGCAATTTCGGAATCCACAGTGTTCCTAAGACTTTGTGAGGTAAGAAAACGAGGTTAAAACCATTTTTAAAGCAGTGGGGTTTTAGCCTTCTTATGCAGGCGGCTCTCTAGGCACTGTAATCACAATAAAGAGAATGCAGATGCGAGATGCAGATATGAAGGAATACAGTTACCTCCTATGGAGATATAAACTGGTTGCTAGTGTGTAAAACAATGCCACTCTAATGCTTATTTTGCTTTAGAAAACTAATTTTTCATTAAAAATGTATTCATATTGCCAACAGGCATTTTATTTCTAGTTCTAAGTGAACTGGAAAAAAAAATTTCCTTCTAGTATAGTGAATACTGGTATGGCCGCCAAAGGATTTCTGAGACCCTCAATAATTGTTTTACAGGTGTAAAGGAGTCCTACAGACTACAGTGTTGGCTAACTGAAGGTATAGTGTGGACAGATACTGAATCACACATGTGACTGCAGAAACATCTCCTGGCGCTTATTTACAAACTAGTTTTTGCTGAAAATAAAATTCTTCAGTCAGGTTTTTAAAACCAAGTAATACTTAAGTCCACCAGAAAAAAAGAAGTCTTACTCAAGGAAGACTATAAATTGGAAAGGGTCCCCTCACCCAGTTGCAAAAGGCAGTGAAGGGGTGTGACCGGGAGCACAGTCCAACAATTTGGCTTAAACAAAGAAAAAGATGTCATGCTAAATTACTATCTGCCGTCTCTTAGAGCCAAGGACGCCCGTGGACTCCTACGGTTTCAAATGAAATACACTGCTAGGTAGCAGATCTGACGTCTATTGTCTATCACATGCGGGGTCCGCAGTGTGGCCGGAGCGACAGCAGTCAGAGGATTACTGTGAACAGACTTTTTCTTCCAGATTTCTTCTCCGATGACTTTCCCCGACAACATGCCATTCTGGCGTTAATTCCCTGCCTCGGTGGTAATGGAGCTGTGACAAGGTGGCCCGGGGCTCGGGCTGGCACACAGGCCCGGGGGATTTCGGCGGCCCGGAAGGCTACGATGGACTCCGGAGGGGGCTTGGAGGGGGCAGGCGACACACGCGCGCGACCCAGGGAAGAGGGCAGCGGGCGGCCGGAGCTGAAGGCCAGCGAGCCGGGCGGCCCGCGCTGCGCTCGGGGACAGCCCCCGCCGCGGCTCCGCCGTGCCCCCGCGGCCTCGCGACACAAAGCCACGCAGGGCGCCGCGTGAACTTTCCCGCTCGCCGCGGCGGGTCGCGGGCTCTCCGCGCAGGGCGTGGGCCACCTGTTCGGCCACCGCCACCTCCTCCTTTGTGGCCGCGGCGATGTCACAGCCCGTGCGGGCGTGGGGGAGGGGAGCGGCCGCGAACCGGCGGCCGATGCATTTCCCCACCCCGCCCCAGCGCCGAGAGGCCGCCAGCCCCGGGGCGCCGGCGCCTCCCGCCGC